TGTTGGAACTTCAGGACTAGCATCTCATGAACCTTCAGAGTTATGTTGTTTTCCTTCGTGTTCTTCATCAAGTCCACCTCCAATTCGTGCAGATCGGGCCACCTTCATGCTTTGCCTCATATCATTTGATATCATGAGCAAGGTTGCCAGGATTTGGAGCCCATTCCCCTCATCTTTCTAGCCTCTTGTTTGTTTGTTCTTGCCAAATTGAAAAATACTCACCAAAAATAGTGATACCCAGTTTTTTGGTTATTTTTTGGATTTCATGCGAACTGGTTGGTTTGATCCATGAATCTCTTGCAAAACTAGTTGACCAATTTCCCCTTTCCCCCCTTTAATTCGAGCTGGAAATCAAGTTTTCCCGCCCCCGAACTCATATCCATAATTTTGGGTTTAACCGACACTTCTATGCAAACCCGGAATTTCTGGACACCGGACATTGGCATGGCATGCATGAAATTTCAGCATCCACATCCTTTTTGGCGTGTAAGTTTTGATTCCGGACTCCAATTTTGGTGTTCTTGGGCTCGTTTCGAAGCTATCGACGTGCTCTTGATCGTCACATTGGTTACCACTTCATTTGTTTGAGAGAAAATCGACACTTTGGCATCTTTGCCTAAAGCCTTCATCCATGACAATTTGAAAGCGTGCTTCTTTGCCAGTTTCCTGCTTCAAAGTTCCTAGCCAAGGACATTGTACCTCTACACCGACTCCACGGTCCACCAAGCTCTCCTACAACGACAATCACTTCATCCTTTGACACCACAGCCGGGAGCAAGGCTGGTTATGTCCTACCTCGACTAATGTATTGTGTCGATGAAGGTATCCATTATGTCAAACACTTGCCTTCCTTGTCATTAACTTTGTGAGTCATTCTACCTTTGGTGATACCCTTGATCCTATTGAGATTAGTTATTTGAGTATTGTCGGACATCGTACACTTGACCACCGTAGTGACATCTTCGTCATATACATCATTGCTATCTTGAGTATCTGCATAGTAAGAGTAATTTGATATCTATTTTGTGCCTCACTTGTATATTGGCATAAAGCAAATGAGAAGCATGAAAAGTTCCAAAAGTAAGTAAGTAAGAAAGAAAGCTAATAAAAGGAGATACAAGTGCCAATAATACTTCATATAGTGAAACGTCAAGTTTATGAGTCGTTAGAGTGGTGCCAAGTTTACGAAGTTGTTACCCTCTACATGCAATCAAGCTAGCGTATCTCCTTGAGTTTGTGCCACATGATCTTAGTATTTGATAGGCAAATCTTGTATGATCATTCCTTTGGTTAACCCATTATCTTTGAGCGTGAGCCTCTTTTGTTTCCTCTTACATTTGAGGTCATCTTGCATTGCTTTGAGTTCATTTGGATCTGGCCTAATTATTTTAATATCTTGATCCACTTATTGCTTTGTTTTGGTCCACTAAGCCTCCAAGCTCAACATATTAGCCTTTTGCAGGTTCATAGGTGTGGGAACATTTATCAACAATTCAACATCATCTTACTCATTTGGTACACATTGATCGATAGTTGATCCTTTGCATCCGAGTGGAGAAGTGTCATCATGTATAGGGAGAGGATTTGTAGAGCAATTTGTGAGAGGCCTCGATGCAAGAAAACCACACAATGGCGGCGGCCATGGCAAATCCACCAACAAAAAAACACAAACCAAGTGTACATAAAAAAAGTACAATGACAAGGACCACCACCGAACTCACGAGGTGTCGTGAAGGGTTGTGAACACTGCACAAGGCAACTGAGTGGAAAAGAAGCTGGATAAGTGCTAGGTTAGCTGAATGTTGAGCACATTTGGTTCCGACGAGATCAACACAAAAGCTTGTTCAATTCAGAGAAGTTGAAGTGCGCTCCAAGCCGTGGCACACACGACTGCCCCTAAAAACTCACCCTCCACCTCAAATGGACGTGGGCGCAAGGCGGTCAGCACAACATGCAGACCTTTGCAGCCACAGCTACTACCACTCAGGTGCGACATAAGTAATTCCGGACAGAGGAAGTACATTACCCCGAATTCAGAATCTGGAGAAGAGAAGCACAAGATAGTAGATACAGCTGTTTCTTCCACACGACATGCCTAGCTGTCTTACAGTCCAAGTCCAACACCATTCAGGGCAGTGTGCATATATAGCGTAGAATAGTTACAGAATTTGTTCTCATGGAGAGATGCAGTACGTTAGATAGACGTAAGCGGGTCAAATTAACCGACGTCGTTGCTTACCTAAAGTTCTAGCAACACGGTAAGAGCGACTTGGAATTTAACAGCAACAACGGCACCAGCACAGGTAAAAATGAGAATCTTGGTTGCCAACTCCAACAGCTTCACAGCACATCAGAGTCGGAAAGAATGCAACCTCCTAGGAAGAAGTTTTGGTAGCAGCAGGGCTTCTACCAAACTGAATGATCATCGGCTTGCCCTTGAACGCATAACCATGCGCTAAATTCTGCAAAATCAGAAACCGCGCCATTCTTTAGCACTTCTGGCTCTCAAGGACTGAATAATAAGGAATTAAAAGAAACTCCAATTGGAACTTATTTCCTGACAACAAATGGCATTCAATGTTTTTCCTTTTTGGTCTTATAACTTTGCTACTTCAGACAAAGTTTGTTAGTGCTGGGCACAGTGAGCAGCTTTTGATCTGAGTATCCAGATGGGATTTCTACCATAATTTTAGTAAATTAGCTTTATTTTGTCATATTACAAACTAATGGGTAAAATCGGAGTCACTAACCAGTGCACGTTGAGCAAGTTCGACAGATGGAAATGTCACAAAAGCTTGGCCCCGCATTCGACCTTCCTGGAGCAAGATCAGAATATTTCAGAAACAGAAGAATGTTCTAGCAAAATAAAACAAAATGGTGGCAGATTTTTTAATGTTGTCCAAAAACAAACGTCAGCTTGCTCGATAATTTTCACCATGATCCACAGATGCAGGAGCAAGGAACATCATTTGGATATTGATTTATGAATAGGTTCCTTTTTTTAATCATAATCATGCCACAAGCAAAAGATATGTACACATCTAACCTGCATTAACTTGATACTTAAACCAGACCTTGCAGCATCCAAGCTTTCAAACACAGATCCTGTTAAGAGCAGTTTGAAACAAGGTGAGGAAATGAAAAGGCACTAAGATGTGCAGAATCAACATTCTAAGAAACACAGTATTCAGTCTCCCTCGGTCATACCAAAGACATAGTAGAAGTCATCATGAACAACATCTTTTGCCAAGTTCTTAATATATAATACACTGGCAGGATTCCCTGGCGTGTAATTCTGCAAAACAGACACAAGCATGTGTCAGTGAGGCATCAAACCATAATTGAACTGTATGTTATTTCAATAAACAGAAGGGACATTTTGTAAGTCTTGAATTGCGAAAAATCAGCATTTTCCCATAGTTTTTCGTTAAAAAAGCGGATAATGATGTTCATTTTGATGAATAGCAAGAAAAAAACAAATACAAGTTTATGAAAAAACACTAATGCCCATCAGTTGATCATTGTGTCATAGTGACATAATAGACCCAACCACATAACAACCAGCAGCACCAGCTTATGAAACCACATTTAAAATCTGCTAATAGAACCATGCTTCCAATTATTAGCATCTCATCATCAAGATAAAAAGAACGAAATTAAGTGAACAGATGATGATACATACACTGTGTATTGGTAATAATCATCTTTTAGTTAAAAAGAAATATCACTAAAACTGTACATCATCGAGATGTTCAGGCTGACCAGTACTCACGATGTTTGTGCAACAACAACAACAAAGCCTTTCAGTACAAACAAGTTGAGGTAGGCTAGAGTTGAAACCCATAGATGATGTTTGTGCAAATGGCATAAAATACTGAATTCATCTACCTTGAACATGGGAAGGGACAAAATCTCCTCTGTCGGTAATTTCTCTTTCTCTATTTCCGGAGGCGTGGCAAAATGTTTCTCTTCAAGTTGTTCATCTCTAGAGGCCAATCCCTTGTCGATAGTACTCCGATCAGCAAGTTCCTTATAAGCAGCCTTAGGGACAAGTTTAATCTGCACAGAACCATTGCACTTGAGAATGAATAAGTAAATAAAACTTTTGAGTTCTGAGAAAGAATGCTTCACCTGCAGTATTGGATTTTTCTTTTTTATTACTTGAAGCTCATTGGGAACTAATGCAGCTGGTTTCACCCCGACCGATTCATGGGCGACACTTCTATCAACTGCAGGACCAACAATAGCTTCATGCTTTGCGCGCTTGACTTTCCTTGTATCAACATCTTCCTATATATAAAGCACACATAAACTTTTGGCGAAGATACTACAAACTAAAAGATAGAAACACAAGAATTGGTACGAACATCAGAAGACTCCATCTCAGACTCATCACTAGACAAATCAGCCAAATGAAGTTTCTCTGCCATAGAAGGCTGCGGTGGTGGAGGGGGAGGAGGAGCAGGCACTTGTGATGGTAGAGGTGGAGTAGGCAATCCCGTCCGAAATGGAGCTGGAAGGTTCATCTTGTTCATCAAATGCAACACCTGTTACAGAAATACATCAATCCAAATACATTTGCTCATGCTAAATGCACAAAATAATGCCTTGTGAACTGTAACAGTAGTTCACGAGGTTGAAATTCCAATAAACCTGAGTGTAAAATCGCGGAACGGCAATGAGAGAGTTGACAATATTTGTCAATATGTTTCCATCTGGTGGTGGATATGCATACCTAAAAATAAATAAAGAGTTAATCACATTTCTCAAGTAAGATGGTGGATTAGGACCGCTAACATGGATAACAGAAAGAACTTCTGCAGAAAAGAATTGGTTGACCTCGTTGGAAAACTATGAAACATTTCAGAAGTATGGAGTATGGAGTCTCAGAAGTCAGAATTGCATCTTGGTCAGGATATAGGACTTCAAAGTTCGGAAGTGGCAATAAACGCTTGCATTGATAACTCACAGGCCTTTAGACGGGTCATAAATCCAGTAGTGGTAAATTGAGCTACTAACTTCTCATACAGACAAGCATTTTGTTGAAACGGGAACAAAGAAGACAACTTTTAAATTAGAGATACAACTACTACTTTTTTCTTTGAACAACACAACTTATGTAATCCCTGCTGGTAATAGAATAGACCAGGATTCCCTCAAAATTGAATAAGACCAGGTCATCTTACCCTTGTCGAGCTATACAAATGGAAACAGCAACTTTGGTCGCCATCTCCATATCTGGTTTACTTGTAAGCTTTACTGGGTATGCCTTATATATCGCGTTTGGGCAACCCTCTCAACAATTAAGAGATCCATTCAAAGAACACGGAGACTAATTTTTACAAAATACCTTTAATACCAGGCATTTTTATATAAGGTGCCCACACATTCCAAAAGAAATTTGGCCAACAATTAGACCAATAAAATGTCGGTTATGTGACATGAAAGAGATATCATTTAGGAATTCAACGATATTAATTTTGTGTCACAGAACTAAAATAATATCGGTCTAGCTCTTGGTGGGTCCCTTGTATTTTAGAACAAAAGAGTACTACAAATACAAAGGTGAAGTTGCAGATAGCAGCTCGCATCTTTAGTTACTTCACTTCATTCTAATAACACATAACATATCAATTACCTATATGAAATGGCTTAAGTGATCATAACTCATAAGAAAAGGAAGATGTTGGAAGATAATGAGTGAAACAACGACGATGGCGATAACATACTCAAGATGAGGAGGAAATGAATAGTCCACACCAAGCCTAGAAGCGATCGGTTCGGCAGTTGATGTAGGATTCTCTTGATTCTGGGAATTCGTACTTGGCACTTGAGGCATCCCATGAGCTAATTCCTCCTGATGCTTCTCGTTCACATTCTTGGCATTTGGCTGGTTTGCTCTCTCAACTATCAGTACTTTCCCAAGGATCCTAAACCTGCCAAAACCAGCCCTTAGCAAAAAAAATGAAGGAAAGAAATTCACAAAATTAAGATCACAAAAAAAAGTCATATTCCGCAGCTAGTTCGAACAAAGAAAATGTACAACTAATCAAGCAGAGCGTGTACTTGAGGAAAGGAACCTGTTCAACACAGACTGCGCCTGATTGGCCGCCATCTCGTCCCTAAAATCCACAAATGCACAGTTCCGCAGCCTGTAACGGTGAAAATAGTTTCAGTAAAAAATATACCACATGTATTACCTAGGCGAGCAGACAAATCTCAGTATACCTAAAGAACTTCTTTTGAAATAGTATACATAAGGAACTCTGCTAGCTAAATCACAAGTTATCAAACACAGTAAACATGTAAAACACCAAAGAAAGCAGGAGCGGACAGGGAGGAGGAAAGTACTTTCCACCGCAGAGGCGAACGGATGTGGCGCCATAGTGGGAGAAGAGTCCGAAGAGCATCTCCTGTGTGATGGCCTCTGGGAGGTGCCGCACCAGGAGCGTTGCCGGCGCCGGAGCAGACCCAGCCTGCTGATGTAGAAGCGGTGGCGGCGGAGCAGAGGAGGGATTCCCGGGCAGTGGAGGAAGCCGATGCGGCGGAAATGACTCCATCGGAGACGCCGGTGGCTTGGCGATGGATTTGGACAGGTAGCAGTGGCGGGGCGTGACAGCAACCAAAAGGGGGCCGATTTCAAACTGAAGGCAAAATATGCATGGAAATTCACAACATAAAGTGAAACAAAATATACATGGTTACACTAATACATGCGTATTGTTGTCCAAGTACCAGTATCTAGTGCTCCACATCACTAGAATACACCGGAATGACCAAAAGAAGACTAAATATAACCAATAACCACAGATATGCTCTTCTAGACTTCTTAGCTTTGAAATTGGCAATTATATCATCATTACTTATTTTACAACAACAACAACAACAACAACAACAACAAAGCCTTAAGTCCCAAACAAGTTGGGGTAGGCTAGAGGTGAAACCCGTAAGATCTCGCAACCAACTCATGGCTCTGGCACATGGATAGCAAGCTTCCACGCACCCCTGTCCATAGCTAGCTCTTTGTCGATACTCCAATCCTTCAGGTCTCTCTTAACGGACTCCTCCCATGTCAAAATCGGTCGACCCCGCCCTCTCTTGACATTCTCCGCACGCTTTAGCGACCGCTATGCACTGGAGCTTCTGGAGGCCTGCGCTGAATATGCCCAAACCATCTCAAACGATGTTGGACAAGCTTCTCCTCAATTGGTGCTACCCCAACTCTATCTCGTATATCATCATTCCGGACTCGATCCTTCCTCGTGTGGCCACACATCCATCTCAACATACGCATCTCCGCCACACCTAACTGTTGAACATGTCGCCTTTTAGTCGGCCAACACTCCGCGCCATACAACATTGCGGGTCGAACCGCCGTCCTGTAGAACTTGCCTTTTAGCTTTTGTGGCACTCTCTTGTCACAGAGAATGCCAGAAGCTTGGCGCCACTTCATCCATCCGGCTTTGATTTGATGGTTCACATCTTCATCAATACCCCCATCCTCCTGCAACATTGACCCCAAATACCGAAAGGTGTCCTTCCGAGGTACCACCTGGCCATCAAGGCTAACCTCCTCCTCCTCACAGCTAGTAGTAC